TAAGGAAGCTAAAAGCAGACTCGGGGATATGCCTGCAGCGTAGGAAGATGTATGAGAACAGACACAAAAACTCTCCCTCCCAGATAAGCAAGACAAAGAGACACAAAAACATTTCAAGCCTGTGATAAGCTTTCCTGCCCTGAACCCTTAAATACTCTTAGTCTGTAAGAGAGAGTGTTCCTGACAGAAATTGGCCAGAAGCCCCTCTCAGTTTCATTCTCCAAAATAAACCTGTCTTTGACCGTTGAGCCACTTTTTGTGTTTCTTTCTTCCTTCTTTAACCCTTACAGTTTTTAGTTGTGACATTATTCAAGGCGGCTTGAATAATAGGTGATACAGATAAATAACAGTTTTCGGCAACACATAGACAGCTTCGGGAATGTAAAAATAATACATGTTCCATTTAGTCAATATTTTACATTCCATATGTTAAAAATGTTCAAAAATATAAAAATAATGGTCAATGTAGAAATAATTAAGTATAGTTCTTACACTATTAAAATCATAACAGAGCTCAAATTCCATTTTGAAATAACTCACTTTATAATTCCTGAGCACTGAATCTTTTTACACTCTCATTCCTTAATGCCTAATTTTTCTTTCTGTACATCAGTGACACTTGATAGTGTCAAATGTTATCTCTTGGTTAGGTTGGCTCTTGGAGTTTCTGTAATCATGACTTCTCTGTAGCTGTGTCTGAAATTGCTAGACCAGCATCATATGGGGAGAATGTACTATGATAACAACACTCTAAGATGAACAGAGGACCACTCTCTCAAGAGTCAAGTGGTAGCTCTCTGTTATTTGTAATATAATTTAATGAGTTCAAATTGCCAGTCTTCTACATTGTTTATAAACATTTTCTCTCTCTCTCTCTCTCTCTCTCTCTCTCTCTCTCTCTCTCTCTGTGTGTGTGTGTGTGTGTGTGTGTGTGTGTGTGTGTGTGTGTGTGTGTGTGTGTGTTTGTGGTGGTCGCTTTTTAAACAAACAAGGATGAAATAACTACATCTCTGTTTATATTTTATATGATCAAATGAATTATGGAGAAAGAGGTAGAAGGACACACAGTATTATCTGAGTGGGATTGAGAGGAGATGGGACAGTAGTGAGAAAGAAAGAGAATGAGTTCATAAGACAGGAAAATAGTCATAGGAAAATAGAAAAAAGTGGATTGTATAATGTCAAGTGAATATATATATATATTATTAATATAATAATTTATTGCATATATTATTAATATATATTAGTCTATATATAAAATTTCATCTATGACATAATTGAAAGTATGTATTAATTGAATAGGCATATAGACAAAGACTAAATGGAAATTTGGGTAATTTTTACTTTTGATCACTTGATCCCTGTTATGTGTATATAGTAAAAATGTTCTTTTTAAAGCTATCACTGTTGATAGCCTGAAAAAACCTGAATCTGTGATATGCTGGAACTCAGAATCCTATATTCTTGACATATAATAAAATGATAAAATGACACCCAGAATTTAGCCACTTATCTGTGGCCACCAGCTAATTTATAGTAAAACATGAACTACAAGCCAGGTGTCCTATCTCCCAGTACAGTGTCCTCACACAGCATGACCTCTCCTTTCAAGGCTATTCTATGGCAGCTCTACTCAGCGATGGAGTTCATTTCATGCGGAAATGAAATCAACCAATGATTATCACTTTAGAAACAGTGTTGACCTGTTTTGAGCATGACAAATCATCAAGAAGATCATTTCCTGCCAGCAATTGGCAATGAGAATCTGAGGTTACAGAAAATCAGGCTGGAGGCCAAATTCTGGATCTACACATAATAGCAACAGTGGCCAATGTTCTATTCATTTCTAACTAGTGTCACTCCCTCTCTAGGCAACACATCTGTCATGCAGTACAGCTGCGTGATCCTGGGAGACTGTAACAACTGGGAAAAGTAAAGTGGTCATATCCATCAGCAAGAAGGAAACAAATTTTAAGCAAAAGTAAGGAGAAAGATAGATATTAATCAAGTACTTATACTAATAAATATAATAACAGTTATCGGTGTTATGAAGATGTCCAATTGCTATCAGAAAAAACGGTGAGTCCTGAAGGAGAAGCAGTAAGAAATAAAAAGGAAGATAAATCAGCCTCACAAAGTTCTCACACATATACACACCCCCATTTTAAAGCCTTCAGGAGTTCCCCCTAACGCTTAGAAATAATCTAATAATCATTCCATTAAAAATAATTTGACCTGTCTGCTAATATAAGAGGAAAGAGCTGACATCTTTTGTTACCAGGCACCTTAAAGTTTTTTGTTTGTATATTTTTAAATTCAAGACTCACATTTTATGAGTAGATGTTACTATAATGCTTATTCTAGGAGTAGGTCCTATTTTATAGGGGAGCCAATGGAGACTCCAAGAAGTGAAATTAACTGCCTAAAGTCACATAGCTGTTTAAATGTTTTATGAATAACCCAAAGAAAAGACAAAAACAAAACAGAGGGGAAAGAAAGGACAAGATGGGCTCTAGCAGATGACAAAGCCAATTGAAGTTCAAGACAGGAAAATAAATGAGATGCATGAATGCTGGTTGAAAATATTTTCTTTTGTCACAAAGAATTGAGGAAGTCCTAGGAAAATGAAATATACCCTCTGTGCAATGGCAAGAAAAAGCCGCACCTGGGACCCTTCCATCTCACTGCTTCTGGTCTACCACGGCTGAGGAGACCACTCACAATCAATGCAGCCACCGAGAAACCCATCCCTCAGGGATTCAAGGCTTCCTTAAAACTAGAAGACAAATGGAACCAGTCCTCATTGTCAACAGAAAAGAATGAGAACAAACCAATTCTCTCATCTTTAACTAAAATAGTGTTTGTGGCAGTAAACACAGTATAGAGATAATCAACAGTCCAGTTTCCATTTGATTTTGCCAAAGACAGTTCCTAGTTCCCACTCTGGAGATGCTGCCTATATTCTTAGGACTTGGAGCAATCTCAGCTCACTGAAACCTCTGACTCTCAGGTTCAAGTGATCCTCCCTCCTCAGCCTCCCAAGTAGCTGGGACTACAGGCATGTGTCACCATGTCCAGCTAATTTTTGTATTTTTAGTAGAGATGGTGTTATACCATGTTGACCAGACTGGTCTTGAACTCCTGACCTCAAGTGATCTCCCCACCTCAGCCTCCCAAAGTGCTGGGATTAAGGCATGAGCCACCATGCCCAGCTGTCGTCATTCTTAACTCCACCAGTAATAGCTTTGACAGTGAGGACATGTGTATACATAATGTTGCTAAGCAGTGCCCAGCTGATCTCCACAATGAGGGTACCAATAGGAGGGGAGGGCCCCAGAGGTAAAAGCCAGAGTATAAACCATGGCTGCTTGTGTGAGTTGAATATATTATCTAACATCTCGTAGTCCCATTTTCTCATTTATAAAAGTGTGAACAATTACAGTGCCCATCTCATAAAGTTACTATGAGAATTAAATGACAGAATAACTTAGCACAGTATTTGGTACTTGGCAAGTAAATAAATAGCATCACTGATTACCATTTTTCACCACCTGGAAAGAGATTTCTGATTTTCTAGTAGACACTGAATCTTCATACTGGAAGGTCAATAGTAGGAGTTCTAAGACCTGGCCATTTTTTCACAGCATGGGACTCCTCTGATGGGCAACTTTCTCCCAGTGTTCTCCATTGTGTTGGATAAAACTTTGTCAGATTTGCTTGCTGGTCTGTTTTCCCTGTCCAATTCTTCTCCCTCTCCCTTTCATCTTTGACAAGCATTACCTCCTCCCCTAATAAACCTCTTGCACCCCAATTCCCTCTCAAAGTCTGTTACCAGGAGGACTCCTAACACAGTAAAGAAAACACTGAACATGTTTATATAGAGGTCCTCATTACCATGTGATAATTTGACTATAGAAAATGTATTGCTGGGCTTCGTAATGATGTATGAATGCATGGGTTTTGAACTGTGCATTGAGACAAAAGTATATCTTTACCAATCAAAAACCACAGAGATCCTTAAAACAATTGATAAGCACTAGTCTATATCATCTATTTTGTGGTGTGATCCAATGTTTATTGAATAATACACATTTACTCTACACAAGTTTATTCTGCTTGGATGAGTTCCCTTTGGTTCTCTATCAATATAGAATAATTTTTTCAAATATCTATGTTAACTAGGAATATATTCATCATTAACTAGGTACACTAAAAAACTTAATAAAGCCAGGCTCATTCTTCACAAATACTTTGTCTCTCATACTTAAGCTAATAATATCAGCAACTGATATTTGAAGTAATTAATACCCAGGATGTATATAGTCTCTATGATACTCCAGGTTAACTAATGAAATTTCAGAGTAGAGAATGACTGTAACCTGAAGTAATAAGCCAAGAATTATAGAATTAAAAGAATCTTAGATCAATATGACTCTTTTGAAGGTGAAGAAACTGAAGGTCAGAAAATGTGTCAATTTATCAATGTAAATCACTTGAATGTAACCTCCAGATTTTGTTTAAAATGTCAAAAATTTGGCAAATGTAATATACCACAAACTGTCATTTTATGCAATTCAAAATCTATAGATACAAATGGAAATCTGTGTAAAGCAATGATTCTCAACCAGGAGTGGTTTTGCCTTCCAAAGTACATATAGCAAAATCCAGAGATATTTTTCGTGGTCTCGGGGGAGGGGTGCTACTGGCATCTAGTAGATAGAAGAGACAGGGATGGCATTAAATACCCTGAGGTATACAAGACAACACCCGACCTCCACCAAAACAAAGAGTTATTATATATGGCCCAAAATGTCAATCATGCCAAGGTGGGGAAACCCTGGTTTAAAGTTATAATAAAAGTATTCAGTGTCCTGATTGTTTTGTTGAAAGCAAAAGAAAATACTCTGCCCACAATCCCATGGTGATTTCTTTCTTTTCTTCTCTCTCTCATTCTCTCTCTCTCTCTCTGTCTCTCTCTCTGTCTCTCTCTCTCTCTCTCTCTCTCTCTCTCTGTCTGTCTCTCTGTCTCTCTCTCTCTTTCTTTAGAGACAGGGTCTCACTTTGTTGCCAGGCTGAAGTGCAGTGGCATGATCATAGCTCAGAGCAGCCTCAAATTCCTGGGCTCAAGAGATCCTCCCCCCTCCCAAAGGTCTGAGATTATAGGCATTAGCCACCACACCAAGCCATTTTTTTTTCTTATTGTACTAAATAATATCTCCCCATTTTCTTATAAAGAGTAATCTAGAACACTAAATAAAATAAATGGTTAGAGTTCAGTTGCCTCTTATACACAAGAAGATGCCATTTTTAAGCATATTATCCAAATATCTTACAAGATAGAAATGCAGGAAGTACAGCAGAGATTACCAGAGTTCTATAACGGTCACGGAAATTTATCACCAAATTTTTTCCATGCATTCATATTCCTCTAGTAGCTTGACGAATTTTTTCAGGTTTAAGTGTACCCTACTTTCAGGTACCCATTGCTAATTTTATTAGTCAATGTATGACACACAAATTGTTTAGTTTATTAACAAACTTTATTTATTAACAAAATAAATCTACATGAAGCATCTTGGTCCTGTTAAGGAAAGCCCTCTGTTAGCATAGCACCTACCCTAGAAATCCCCTTTAAGTTTGAATGTCTCTGGTTATGACTATGACAGATAGGTTTTCAAAACAGCCCTTACAGAATAATTGAAATTTAAAATAGTCATCTGAAAGCGGAGAACATAGTATTAAGTTCAGATAGTAGCAATACGTAAATCATTGCTTTAAATTCTCACTGTGAAAGAATTTTTTTGAGTCTTCATTTGACAGTCTAGGTGCACCCCCTACCGAACCAGAGAGAAAAATCTTGATTCTCCTTAAATTCACAAGGCTCTTGAACTGCATAACATCCAGCACTTCACGCATCTCTCTAGCTAATCTGAAAAGCTGACTGTAAACCGTGTATTTGGTTTGACTCAAAAAAAAAAAAAAAAATGTGCGTATGAATGGTGCCTTGCACATTAAAGAGGCTACATTGTGAAAGATCGCCCAGAAAATCTCTAAATGATACTAGCAGTACAAAAGCGACAGCCACCGCTTCTTAACATTAACAAATGAGCTGTATGTTGATATTTTTATTCTGTCTCCTAACTTGAATGGTATGTGATTCTGTATCACAGACAGCCAATTATTCTTTCAGACAGTGATCACAATCGACCCTAGAAGTTTAAAGTCTCAAAAGTGATAGTAAATTACCAACAGGCAAAAGTCATTTCAATTAATTAGATGGAGACCACGGAGTTTAAGAGTAAGAAAAGTTCCTTCACCTTCCCAGCCTCACTCACACTCCTGATCCTCGGCTCCGCTCTTCGGAAATATCCCCTTACTTTGCGGATGCCAGGATGCTGGTCCGAACAGTGCCGGCCCAGGGCATCACTCCACCACAGCAGACCTTTGAAGCTCCGCTAAATGCCTGCCAGCACCTGCCAGGTGCGCCTAGCTGCGTGCCGGGCGTGTGTGGACGAGTGAACATGAACGAGCTCTGGCGCGCACCTGGCCACCGCTCGCTAAAGCCGACTCCGCCCGAGGATCCGCAAGCAGATGTCGCGGGGCACTGGCTCTTACCTGGGCTCTGGTCAGGAGGCAGCTGCTGAGCATCAGCCAACCGCAGACATGGAGCGACGCCCCCAGCCCGGCCATGCCCGGAACTGCTGTAGCGAGAAGCAGGGACCCTCCTCCAGAGCCCGGGAGAAGCTTCCAAGTCGCCAACTTGGCTGGCGCGGGGCAAACTTGTGGCCAGGAACGACGCGCAGCTGGGGTGGTCGGGCCCGGGCCACCGGCCGGGCGTGCTTGGGGTCTTGTCGCCGGAGCGCCCGGGTCCTGCTGCGCCGCGGCTCGAGGTTGGTCCTGTCTTCCGGGGAGACTGGCCCGAGTCCCGGACTTGACTCGCAGCCGCGCGCAGCCTGCGGCTGGAAGGGGGCGGCTCCCGCGCCAGGCGGATCCGGGTGCGCCCTGCGCGGCTGTGCTCGCGTTCCTTCTCGGAGTCGCTGAGTCCCGCAGCCCAAGGGGAGGGGGGCCAAGGATCCCCCTGCGCTGCTGCCGCCACCCCCAACTCGCATTGCTTCCGCTTCCCTCCACTCCGTCCCCGGTTCCAGGGCCCTCTCTCTAGGGACGCCCTGGGTCTTCGCGGAATGGTCCAGAAGTTCCCTCCTGTCCTGCGTGCGCTGACCGTCGGCCCCGGGGAGAGCGACAGTGTGGCTAAAGGCTCCCAAGGCCAGGCGGGCCGTGCGTCTGGGCTGTTTGCTGGACAGTCGTAAAGCCCTCTAAATGCTGATTCATTTTCTCCTAATCATTATAATAATACTTATATATATTATATGTATATTTTATATATATTATATGTATATTTTATATATATATTTATTTTTTTTTTTTTTTTTTTTTGAGATGGAACCTGTCTCTCACCCAGGCTGGAGTGCAGTGGCACGATCTTCGCTCACTGCAGCCTCCACCTCATGGGTTCAAGCAATTCTCTTACCTCAGCCTCCCCATGTAGCTGAGACTACAGGCACAGCGCCACTACCTCCAGCTAATTTTATTTTACAGCTAGTGCTCGACTTAGGACCACAATTGGTTCCGACAGACCGGTCGTAACACTATTTGGTCGTAAGTTGAGTAGGCTATATGTACAGTACTGTGAAATGATGTTATAAAAATCTTTAAGTCATATTTTATCATAATTTTCTTTCATTATTGTTATATATCATAATTTTCTTTGTTCATTTTATGCCATTTGTATCATCTCTACAGCATTTTGTTTCCTATTTTTACATTCGTCAGGTTTAAGTAAAACACTGCATTACAACTGGTTTAATATTTGCAAAACATACAAAATTACAAAATACAGGTGCATACAAAAAATACAAAATATAGGTGTAAAAAATACCATAGGAAACATTTTCCCAATTGCAAAACATATCAAAATATATAAACATGTACGAAACATTTTATTGGCCGCTGGTGCTTGGCTGCGGATCGTTGATGTTGTCATTTGAGGCAGCAGTTGGGGTTACCGGAGTTGGTTTTTTCATAAATATGGTGAGCTTTGTCTGAATTGTATGTTTCTTTTTTTCTTCATAAATTTCACGATATGGACGAAACACATCGTGCGCCATCTGTTCATTCCTTGCAAATCGTTCAATGTTTGGGTCCATTGCTTCAAAATGTATAAGAAGTTTATTCAGTAAAGATAAACCGTCTGATAATCCCTTAGTGGTGAACTGTCCTTCTGGCTCCTCCTCTTCTTTCTCTGCTTCTCTTTTCTTCTTCCGCCACTCTTTCTTCTTCCAGTTCGATTAGCTCTTCATTTGTAAGTTCTCCAGATTCTTTGTCTAGCAACTTTTCGACATCTTCCATTTCACACTCCAAAGAAAGGTCTTTAGCAAGTTTTACTGTTTTTTCCCTGAATCGTTTCAAGTTCATGTTCACTGTCAAATCCATCAAAATCATTAACATAGCGCTTAACACAATTTTTCCAGATGCCATTCATGCACCCTGTCGTCACAGCCTCCCAGGCGGTAGCGATATTCTTGATACACATCAAAATGTTGTAGCGTTTCCAAAAATCTACACCAGAGCAGTCGTGGCTAGCGATTGTGGTCGTAAAGTCGAATGGTCGTAAGTTGCATAGGTCGTAAGTCAATCAATACCTGTATTTTATTTTATTTTTTGTATTTTTAGTAGAGACTAGGTTTCACCATTCACCATGTTGGCCAGTCTGATCTCGAACTCTTGACCTAAGGCGATCTGCCCACCTCAGCCTCCCAAAGTGTTGGGATTATAGGCATGAGCCACCATGCCCTGCCTAATATTCTTTAACACTGCGTGTGTAGGTGTGTAAACACCTTCATTTGGGACAAAGCCTGTTCCTATATTTTCCTTAAAAGCATAATTATCAAGATACCTGGGACTGCTTTATACATTGAGTCTCCCAGGATCTGATACTGTTGGGAAGAGGCGATTTCCATAGATGAAGCACAATAATTCACAATGATCTGAGATTCCTCACAGATTGGCTTCATTTGCTGCCAAAATGAAAACTGGGTTTGCTTATAAAACATATAGATTACTGATTGCCAGTCAGCTCTAAAACATTTAAAGGAGTGACATTTTTATTTCTACATGTCTGAAAATGTTCACTCCTATCTCTATTTTAAGTGTTATTTATATTGTGTATATGTATTATAAATACTCTCATGCTTTTTTGACAAAGTTTACAGTTTTTGTTTTGAGTCTGTTTTTCTCTGTTCTTTTTGGGAGGGAGGGTTGAAACTCTTTTTCAAAATAGAACCCTCTATAGTCACTATTATCTAAAATCTTCAATTTGATTACTTAAGAATCAGTACACGTTACATTACTCTGTTCAAGCAAGAAAATAATGGTAATGGTAATAATACTGCTATATAACATTTTTAAGTGCTACTACATTCAGTTACTATTCTAAGTATTTTCCATGAAATTAACTAATCTTTAACTCTGTGAGATAAATATTATTGTTATCCATATTAATAGATAAGGAAATAGACACTCCGTATTTGTCCAAGGTCCAGATATTCCATCACTATGGCACTGCTAGTCATCTATTCTATTTATGCAATAATATTACTACAAATTTTTATCAGTTCCTTAGGACTCAAAACCAGGAACACTTTTCTACGCAGTCTTTTTTTTTTTTTTTTTTTTTTTTTTTTTCATTTCATTGTTCTATCTCCCAAAAATTGAGAATAATTCACTGTGCATAACAGCATGGGTTCTGGGCCAAGAAAAATTTCATGCTCCACTTTAGAAGTCTGGCAATGTCTGAGAACATTTTTGGTTGTGTCACAGTTTTGATATGTCACACATGCTACTGGCATGTGGTGGGAATGGGCTATGGATGCTGCTAAACATCCCACAATTCATAGGACAGCCCCTAAATCAGAGAAATATCTGGCCCAAAATGTCAGTAGTACCACCGTTGAGAAACCCTGCACTACAGCAAAAAGGGTACCCAAGACTACTGCTATTTAAGACTACGGATATACATTCAATCAAATAAGATAAAACCAACTTTTATTAAACATATGCTATTCAAGTGGTTCATTCATACAAACAGGTACAAATCCACAGGCTGCAGGCTGAAAGAATTGAAAACCTTGAGAATATTAGACTGTAATAAATGAAAAATGTTAGGAAAAGTGAAAAAATACAGAAATTGCTGTGATATCAAGATATTTGTGTCTCTGGCCATAAAATATATAATTGCTTATATCATGAGTAAATTAGGAATAATTAATTAACATTATTTTTACAAGCTAATAACTTTAAAACAAACCTTTATGCAAAGTCAATGAAATGACTTACCTGCCAAATTGCTGCAAATGACACCTGGTCAATCCTTAAATCAATGAAAGGCAGGTGACAGGTCTTACCATCTCCAATTACAAATGAAAAATGGAATTTTGATGATAAAGAGACTCAATCCTGAGCCAATCACAGTCCCAATGACATTTTCTGGTTATTTCTGGCAATGTTTGGCTTTGGTTTTTTGATGGTGTTTATTTATTTGTCTGTTTGTTTTTATCTTTTGCAGGACCACCATGTCACATGATGATCAAGGTATCAGAATCAACTGTGCTTGTTAAAATGCATATTCCTAGACGCAGATCATTACTGAATCTCTAATGATTATCCTTGAACATGTATTTTATGTAAATAATTGAATATTGTCTCAAAATAAATTTTTAATGAAATGTTTGTTAAAAATAAATGCTCAAATTTAAGTTAATTGTTAATATTTATAAATTGAACACACGGTCTTGGTGAAGTGTTTCCCTACTCTCTTGTCTTGGTTGGTATTATTTTTCAGAGTCGACAGTCTAGCAAAAATGGACATATATTACTGTTTTAATTTTTAGTTTATTCATAAGTTTGACTATTTTAGACATTCGTTGGTCAATTGTATTACATCCTTTTAAAATCTCTTGTTCTTGCCTCTTGAGGGAAGAAAGGCTTTGAATTCTGGCACTGCCACGTGCTAGCTGCGTAACCCTGAGCAAATTACACACTGGCTTTTCCTTTTCTTAATCTTCTCAATCGTAAGATGGGAGAAATGAGAGAACCTCCTTTAATCAGCTCCGGATGCTAAAACAAAATACCATAAACTGGGTGGCTTATAAACAACAGAAATGTATTTCTCACAGAACTGGAGGCTGTGAAGTCCAAGGTGCTGGTAGATTCAGTGTCTGATAAAAGCCGGCTTCCTCATTGACCACTGCTGTCTTTTCATTACAGCCTTACATGGCAGAAGGAATGAAGGATTTTTCTGAGGTCTCTTTTATAAGGGCACTAATCTCAGAGCCTTTTGTGACCAAATCACCTCTCAAAGGCCCTAGCTCGTAATACCATCACTTTAAGGACTAGAACTTCAACATATTTATTTTGGGGGGAATATAAACATTTACCCCTTTGCAATCCCTCAAAATTTTGTTGGAAAAGTTAAGTGAGTAAACAAACACAAAGTCCAGGGAAATCCTCAATAATTATTAGCTAGTATGATTAGTGCTGTTTGATGATGATGAATATTACTATTATTATTTTTAGTCCTATGAACATAGTCTGTGAATGGGCAAATTACTGTGGCAAGTTTGAATATTCCCTATTTATGTAGAAAAGCACTATCTATATTTACAATATACAATATTTTTCCAACATAAATACCAAAATATTTTTCAACTTTGTTTTTGGCCTAATTTGTAATATCTTGATCAGTGCAGAGGTTTTCTTTCTTTTAATTTATGTATCTAAATCTGTCGATCTTTTCTTTCATAATTTCTTCCTTAGCTTTTATGCAGAAAAGAAATTGCATACTAAAAATTAGAAAATCTTTTTATCAGATCTTTTTTCTAGTTCTTTTCTACCATTTCATATTTTTACATTTAATGTTTTAAAGTATCAATTGTTTAGGTAATATAACAATTTCTTCAAGTACCTAACCAGTTAATGCAACACTATTTATTAAAAAATCAATCTTTTTAGGCTGGGCGCTGTGGCTGACACCTGTAATCCCAGCACTTTGGGAGCCCGAGGTGGGCAGATCACAAGATCAGGAGTTTGAGATCAGCCTGGCCAACACGGTGAAACCCCGTCTCTACTAAAAATACAAAAATTAGCCAGGCGGGGTGGTGGGCGCCTGTAATCTCAGCTACCCAGGAGGCTGAGTCAGGAGAATTGCTTGAACCAGGAAGACAGGTTGCAGTGAGGCAAGATCATGACACTGCACTCCAGCTTGGGTGACAGAGAAGACTCCATCTCAAAAAAAAAAAAAAAGAAGAAGAAGAAGAAGAAGAAGAATCCATCTTTTTAATGGGAAAGATATTTTGAAGATAGGCGGAGGATGAAAGTTTGCTAATGCCTCTGAAATCACAACTTATGCTCCATATAAGGCCGCTCTGATAGAAGAGGCTTAGAAATAAAAGCAGGGTTTGCAAATGATTGAATAGAGCATCTCTCCAGTTTATCCAGGGTAGAATACCATTCATCAAACTCACATGTGAAACACCTCCATCAGATGGTTGGCAATCTTTCCTCTGAGTGCCTGACTGTTAGATTTGGAAAGCTGAAGAACTTAGGCCTCTAAAGCTGAGTCCTGAGGACTTTCTCACTGGAACTCAGGAAGTAGGCAGATAACAACAGAGAAGTGTGGCCATTCAAACACGGGTCCCTCTCGGGGCACATCTGGAGAGAAAAGGTACTCCCCAAGGTGAGGGTTTCTGTCTTGACTCAAAACTGATGTGCAGTGGCTTGTGTGCAGGTGTCTTTCTCTCTGTTTAATTAGGAAAGATTGCTATTACTAATAACAACTTACTTCGTTAGGCCAAGTCACAATTAAATGAGATAATGACAATGTCAAAGAAACGCTTATCAGCTGTACAGAGTTATACAAATGACAATAAGCTAGATATTTGCAGAATACTTTCATATACACTATTGCATTCAATTTATAATTATTAATATGCAAAGCATATTATGAAAATACTCAGTAATTAATTTGTGGCTTAAGGAAGATAATGGAAAGGAAGCAAGAGCCAATCTTAAAGTTTCCCTACTGAGGATTAAAGAAAATTATTAACAAATTCAAGGCCCACCTCAGTCAAGATAAAGCCTGAAGAAAATTAAGAAGTTGGACAATTATGTGCTTGGCACCATCCCATTTCCTCTCTCTCAAATCTACACTGCGCTACTAGTCAAATAACCAGTGTTCTGTCTTTGTTTCTCAAATAATTAGATGAGAACTTTCTTCTCAGTAGCTAACAGCCCCAACTCAAGCTTACCCTCCTGAGATTTGATGTTCTTCTCTCTGTTCTTACTTTACACTCTCTGACTGTAGAGGTTTTTTAATATGTTCCCAGAACTCTTGGACTCACACTTTTCATTGAAAGGTGAGAGTCTATATCTCCTTCCCATGATTATGGGCTCTATGACTGCTTGACCTACAGAATATAGTGGAAATCAGCCCTGTGCTTAAGAAACTGACAGCTTCTAGTTCTAGGCTCTAGGACTTCCTTTCAGTCTTGGAATTCAGCCACCATGCTGTGAGGAAATCTAAGGCACCCACAGAGAAGCCCAGTGCAGGAAACTGAAGATGTCAGGTCTCAATCCTAACTGCTGTTCCGGGCAACAACCAGTGGCAACTCCTCAGCCCTATGAATGAGCCACGTTGGCTAACCCAAGCTGAGCTGCCTCAGTTGACACCAACTTAAGTGGAGAAGAGCCCTGCCCAAATTCCGGAGTTCTGAGCTGTGTAAATGGTTGTACTTACTTTAAGCCATTAAGTTTGGGGGTAGCTTGCTACACAGCAATAATAACTGAACACCATCCTGTCATCAAACTCCTGTGCTTGCAGTGTGAAGATCTCATCTAGCTCCTAGCATCTGATGTGAGCACAATTTGGTTTCATTGATTGTTAGATCACTTAGCACCAGGATTTAATCCTGTCCAAATGCTAACTGGACAAGTAGCCCCTTCTGCTCTTTGTACCTCCATTTTGTCTTTCTAAAATTAAATGACTTTCTCAGAGTTAACACATTCTTCTGTCAAGAATTTAGGACAGCTGTAAGTCTTTTCTAGAAATGCCATAGGATTTTAGTATGTGAAAAATCTCTTAACTTCTTCCCAATACTGAAATCATTCCTACATATGTATCACATATTTCCTCAATCAAACAATTCTAATGATGAAAATCTTACTCCCTCCATGGAAAACATCTGACTTAACTAGCCAATATCACGGATTAAGTGACCATAATTTGCTGGCTATAACAATACCTCATATTTTTAACTTATTACCAATTTTCTTTCATAAATCTGCATTCTTCAAAATATTTGCATCCAGCAAAAATATCCCTATGCCCCAAACAAGCCTTTGACATACATAAACTAAAATACCTATTTTAGTGGTAGTATCCATTTAGATGAAGAAAGCACAACTCAGAAAGAAGCTAAATGACTTGCAGAAGGACACATGGCAGCCAGTGAAGACTTCAGCTTAGGTCTTCTGTTTCCACATTTATCATTTTTTCTATTGTTCTACGGTGCCCCTATAGAATGTGTTTTAGCATTTCCATAGAACTTCACAGATGTACTAAGCATCTTCTCATTCATTTTCTCATTTCCCCCACAGAGATAACTCCCCAATAAAATTACCTTTTTAATCCTTGTTAAACCAAAGGATCAGTCAACATTGCAGGCAGTATGACATATCCATGAGCAAGTCATGTTGAGTCTTTAGCACACAAAGGCATAAGCTCCCAAGAATGTACCAAATAACACAGAAAGAGAAATTTCACCTAGATAAAAAGAGTAACAACCATTTAACTTGAAGATGAATTAGGAAAGAACACTGAAAACTTCAATCTAGTTGTTTCTTTATCACTTAAGTACAAGAAGCCTTGAAAAAGGAAATTTGATTAAGGATTTTTTAAGATGTAGGGAGCTATGACATTTTGTTAGCAATTTATACTAGGTACTTTCTAGACAAGAAAGATCACTGTAAGAAGTAAATATTCATAAAAGCAAAAAGAGAAAAGAAAAAGCAGGAACATACTGGTTTTGCCCTAAAGAATTTCTATCATAGGGCTGGCCCAGTGGCTCATGCCTGTAATCTCAGCACTTTGGGAGGCCGAGGCAGGTGGATCACGATATCAGGAAATCGAGACCATCCTGGCTAACATGGTGAAATATCATCTCTACTAAAAATACAAAAATTAGCCAGGTGTGGTGGTGCATGCCTGTAGTCCCAGCTACTCAGGAGGCTGAGGCAGGAGAATTGCTTGAACCCCAGAGGTGGGGTTGAAGTGAGCTGAGATTGCACCACTGCACTCCAGCCTGGATGACAGAGCAAGACTCAGTCCAACAAAAAAAAAAAAAAAAAAAAAAAAAAAAAAATTTATATGACAAAGCAAAATATCAACACGGACAGAATAATGTAATATAAACATAGCTACAGGCTACAGAGGGAGGGGCTGATTAGTTTGGGGCTAAGGTTACTTAAAGAAGTCTTCCAGCATAGTGAGAAAATCTGCAAAGCTTCTCACATGCTATGACAAAGGGAAAGGGCATTTTAAGTGTTCTGAATGGCAAAAGCACACCAAGAAGCTGGGTGTGCTATATAATGTGCAAAAACAGGAAGAAAACTGCCTTGTTGGTAACAATGGGAATGTGAGGAGGAGGAGCAGAAACTGGGAGTCCCTCAAAGCCTGGCTAAGACATGGCTTTTGCAATGGTATGGTAGCCTGTCATGTGCCACCAAATGGTTGAGATACAAAAATGTTTTTGTAGGAAAAAGTGTTCTGTTTGTTCTTGTAGAACACGTGCAGTGCAGAGGAACCAGGGAGCTGTGTAAGGGGACAACCTGTAATAACAACACACTGTAACTAGCGTCTCGTAGGCACAAGAGTTTCAAGGAGAACGATCCTGTGCTGTTCCCAGTGCACTCCCAGAGCCTTGAAGACAACAGAAGTCCTCTAAGCCCTGTGTGGAGAGAGAGGATTTCCAGAGGAGTCCTCCCAACTGAGTGTGAAGAACGGCTGCATGTGACCCAATGGAGGATGCTGAAGAGGGCGTTCAAAGCAGAGAAGAACATGTGCGAAGCAGAAGACGTGCAAAACAGGAGGGATTCTGAAACAGCGGATGTGCCACAGAGGAAGAAGGGTGGCTGCAAACCCTGGGGAGGAAAAGGATATAGTTTAAAAAATACACAGGAAGGAACAGGAAGGAGAGACACCATGAAGAAAATATTAACAGGACCTGGTCACTGAGCGGTTTGGAAGGCAAAAGGAATGACAGGGCTAAAAAAAAAACAAACGACCTTTTTGCAAGTCTCGAAGGCCAAGAACAAGACTAGTATTGATAGCAGTGGGAAGGCAGGAAGGGGTGCTGTTATTACAGGGGACAGATGTGAACCTTCACTCTCCTCATGTTCCATTTCAGGTAACATTGGAACATACAGGTGGCAGGTAGGAGAGAATTTGGAGGCTTTTGAAAAGAATGTAAAATTGGAGATTGGGGCTCAGGTCAGTGCTGAAAACAGATTTGGGAATCTTTCCCATACAGCTGGAAAGTGAGACTGCGAAGAAACTTCATGTGTATGAGAATATCAATGATTTCTTCATAGGATTCATACACATTCATCCAATATTTCTAGCATAGCATAATCCTATTGTATACCTCCTTCTGATATTTGGAATATACAACTAATGAATTAGCATAATGATCATAAGTTAGGTCTACTGACTCTCATGCATCAAACCCAGTTGGTTTCTACTCTAGAACTATGAGGTCAACACTTGTCAAATACATATTGAGGTTTATTATGAAATTTGCTTTTACTCTCCACAAACAAAGCTTTTATGTTTGTGCAATAAAAGTTCAAGAGAGACATATACATTGGGTTAAATACTTACTGAGACATTAAATATAATGTTTATTAGTTAAATATAATACATATAAATCATATTTCCAATAAAATATAAATATGCTTTAGAAATTAAAGAGACTATTTTAGCAATTATATAGTGAACTTTTGCTGACCTAATTTGCAAAACACTTAGATAAAATTAAGTTATTAACTCATTCATCCATGTCTAAAATGACTTTCCCTACATTAAAACTGGCCAGGCATACTGGCTCACACCTGTAATCCCAGGACTTTGGGAGGCTGAGGCAGGCAGATCATGAGGTCAGAGTTTGAGACCAGCCTGGCCAACATGGTGAAACTCTGTCTCTACTAAAATTAAAAAATTTAATTTAATCTAATTTAATTAATTAATGGCATCTGTATAAAAAGCAATAGATAGTACCACAAACCTCCTCTATCTCTGTACAGGGGGAGCCTCTTCCTTCTTTCTTGTCTATCAAATTATCTGCTCCCTAAAACCACTCCACATGTGTCCGTGTTGCTTTATTCGAACTGGCACGAGACCAAGGACCCTGGTGTTCCTTCACTCATTGGAGCCACATCATTTTGGTGCACTGGCCAGGAATCCAAGGCACAGCATTTGTCAGAGTGGTAAGTATGGGAGCGAGCTTAAAATCTGTTCTAACATTCCAAGGCGCTCTTGGCCTCTATTTTAAAATAAAATCAAATAAATCAATGGGCATCCATCGGACGAGTACAATCGCTTAGCATTGGCTGCTGTGCTAAAGACTTGGATGTGAGACTTGCTGGTGGAAACATGGAGAACCTCCCAATACCCCAGGATCATTGGGAATGTAGGCCATGTTTTGAACCAGCTTCTTTCCACAGAGAGATCTTGCCGTCAGGCGAGGCTGGGAAAGTCCTGAGGTAACTGAGAATTTCTGGCTAGGGTACACCCTGGTGTGAATCAAAGGCCTTTGGACTGAACCCAGCCTCCCACAGCCCATTCCAGGTGTTGGCAGAGAATTCTCAGCTACCCTGTGGCAAAACTCTCCTTCCTTCTCTATCCACGGTCTCATACTCTTTCTCTGTGTGAAATGTGCAGAGATTTTTAGAGCCTAGGAAAGTTATCCTTTTAGGCAAGATCAGGAAAATGCCATTGCAATCTTCAAGGAACAGAGTTCCTTTCCCCTGTATTGAGGTTTCTTGCTACCACGTCGCAGGCGAGCTCGTAGTATTTCTAAGCCAACAGCACCACCTAGTGGAAATAGAAATCTTCTACATGAGGGACTTTTTCCTTTTTTTCCCAGTAATACCGCAGCTTCCTTTTGCACCGTCAGAAATCAGACTCTAGACCTCTTCTGGGAACAGGAAAGTTTTGCCTTTAGCAGTTAGGAGTAAGATGTCTCCCATAGCCAAATTTTAGTCTCAATATTGTCCCATCAGCAGGAAAATGGCCATTCAGTTCCTTTAAGGCACTTATTCTCTTATTAAGACAGTACTTAATTAATAAGGGGTTTTAAATCCAGAAGTTAACTGGAACCATTTACCTAAGGGTAAATGCTTTAGCACAGGCCATAATAGCAGGATATAGAGTTCAATCTAGCATGCCGCGTCCCTTGAAGGAGCCTTGCTCAATTGTGTAGTTTTTCTTGAGATCCATTTTTTTTAGGAGGCACACAGGTCACACAAGTCTAGGAGGTCAAATGGAAATAAAAGGCAGAGGACTAAAGCTGCTTGGGGAAGCGTGACTAGGCCCAAAAGTCCAGTTTCTCTGGTGCCATAGCTTGGAGGGTCATGCCTGCAGTCATGGGCAGCATATTTAAATGGGTGCCAGGAACCAGGGAGAGATTAACTGGGGGGACACCCCCTACTGTTTTCTTCTCCATCCTGGATAGCATATCAAAAGAAAGGAGACTAAAGAACACTTATTCTCACTTCTCTTTCTAGATGGGTTACAGATCATCTTCAACATGCACTCCCCTAGGGTATGTTTTAAAAACACTGGGACTCCTTCAACCCTGAGACTTTGAAGAAAAATCACCTTATATTCTATTGCACAAGGGTATGGCCTTCTTACTCTCTTGGGGACAGGCAAATCTGGCCTGCTGGGGGGAGGCTTGATTTTAATATTATCCAGCAATTAAAACTTTTCTGCAAACAGAAGGGTGAATGGACTGAGGCTGCCTATGTACACGTTTTCTTTGCTCTGCAAACAACCCAGAACTTTACAAGTTCTGTATAATTGACCCAGTTTTTTAGCAGCCACGTCAGACAAACCCACAGGAAATAGTTCCCCAAAGCTAAAGCAGGTTCCAGAGGAGCAGTCCAAAAAAAGCTATTGAATGTCCCAAACCTTCCAGTCCCCTTGCAATCATACCATAAGCTCCACCAGCTCCAGTATATCCTACTCTCCCCATTTCACTCTTACCTCTGCAGGAAACGCCTGATGGAAGTGGTGCCATGAAGGTTCACATTCTTTTCTCATTATAGGACCTTAAGCAAATAAAAGGAGACTTAGGCCAATTTTCTGATGACCCCAACAGGTATATAAAAATTTTCCAAAATTTAACTCAGGTGTTTGATCTCACATGGAGGAATGTTATGTTGCTACTAAGTCAGACCCTCATTACAGCTTTCATGAAAAGCAGGCAGTTCTGCAGGCAGCAGAAAAATACGGAGATGAGCAACATGCCTCCTATAACAGATCCAGGAGAAAAAGAGGAGAGAGAAGGTGAGGAAGAAGTGGAAACTCCATTCCCACTAAGAAGGGAAGCAGTTCCAGCAGACAACCCTGATAGGAATCCCAATAACTCAGGAGATGAATGTGAAAAGAAGCACTTTTTATAAGAAGGCCTATGGAAGACCAGGGCCAAACCTCTCAATTACTCTAAAATGTCCGTGATAGACCAAAGACCAGACAAGAATCCCACAGCCTTTATGAAAAGGCTGAGAGGCACTAATAAAACATACTTCTTTATCTTCTGATTCAGTCAAGGGATAGTTCATTCTGAAGGGCAAGTCTATTACACAGATCTCCAAACATTAGAAGGAAGCTCTACAGAAGCAAGCTATAGGACCAGATAGCACCCTAGAAAATCTCCTGAGAATAGAGAGGCTCACAACCCCTCAGCCTACTGTTCACTGTATTCTGCGTGTGAGTCCATTTATTTATCCATCAAGCAGCTAGAGACTACCCTGACAGGACGTGATCAACATCACACTATAGCATGACTGTAAGGGGCATCTCAAGAAAAACTCTAACTCGATATTTACTTTTAATCCTTAGCTGCAGGTGGGGGCTTACAGTTTACACATGGCTTTCTAATCATGCCTAAAAGTCCCACTCCTCTGTTAGGTAGAGATATTCTAGCTTTCATGGTGGCCAGCGTCCTTATAGCCCCAGGACAAACTCTTTGTCACCCTCTGATGGAAGCTAACATTAATCCAGAAATGTGAGCAACTTGAGAAAGAACAGGTCGAGCTATAACCACTAGGCCAGTCAAAATCTAACTTAAAGATCCCACTTCTTTTCCTAACCAGAGACAGTATCCCTTAAGGCAGAGGCTAGGAAAGGGCTAGAAGCCATTATTTTATTTCATTTATTTATTTATTTATTTTTGATACAGAGTCTCACTCTGTCACCCATGCTGGAGTGCATTGACGTGATCTGGAATTATTGCAACCTTGGCCTCTCAGATTCTAGTGATTCTCCTGCCTCAGTCTCCCAAGTAACTGGCACCTGCCACCGTGCCCAGCTAATTTTTTGTATTAGAAACGGGGTTTCACCATGTTGGTCAGGCTGGTCTCGAACTCCTGATCTCATGATCCACCTGCCTCGGCTTCCCAAAGTGCTGGGATTACAAGCTTGAGCCACCGCACCCAGCGAAGCCATTATTAATAACCTAAAGATGCAGGGCCTCCTCAAACCCTGTAATAGCCCCTGCAACACCCCAGTATTAGGAGTGCAGAAACCCAGTGGGAAATGGAGACTCGTTCAGGACCTTCCCCTCATAAATAAAGCTGTAGTTCCAATCCATCCAGTGGTACCTAATCCCTATACCCTGTTAACTCAAATACCTGAAAGAACTAAATGATTTACAGTCCGAGCTTTAAAAGATGCCTTTTCCTGCATACTGTAACATCCTGACTCCCAATACCTGTTTGCCTTTGAAGATCCCTCCGGTCAGGCCACCCAGTTAACAAGGATGATGTTGCCTCAGGGATTTTGAGATAGTTCTCATCTGTTTGGACAGGCATTGTCACAAGGCATCTCTGAGTTCACTTATTCTCAAGTTAGGGTCTTGCAGTATGTGGATGATACAGTTCTCTGTGCCCCAACTGAAGAAGCTTCTCAGGAAGACACTGAAGCTCTCCTCAACTTCTTAGCTAACAGAGGATATAGGGTTTCAAAACCCAAGGCCCAGCTCTGCAAAACCTCAGTGAAGTACCTAGACTTAGTGCTGCCTGAGAGGCCCAGAGCATTCGGGAAAGAGAAAATTAAGCCTAGCTCCTCCTTCTCCCTCCCCAAAACCCTCAGGCAACTAAGAGAATTTGGGGACATTACAGGATTTTGTAAACTGTGGATACCTGTGTATGGTGAAATAGCCCATTCATTATATAACCTCATTAAAAAAAAAAAAAAAAACTCAGGGAACTAAGACTCATCTTTTAACCTTGAAACCTGAAGCTCAAAAGTCCTTCAAGCCTTGCTCAAGGCACCAGCTCTCAGCTTTCCTGTAGGGAAGGCCTTCAATCAGTATGTATCAAAAAGGAAGGGGATGGCCCTGGAAGTTTTAACACAGGCCCAAGGACCAATCTCCCTGGCTCACTTCCATCAGGAATTAGCACAGTGAAAGCCCAGCCCCAGGAAATTGGACCACCTCTATTTAAGCCAGGAGATTTGGTACTGGTGAAGGCTCTCCCTTCCTTCTCTCCCTCCCTAAGCCCAAGCTGGGAAGGGCCTTACACTGTTCTTTTTTCAACTCCTTCAGCAATAAGTTACAAGAATCGACTCCTGGATGCATCACACTTGAGTCAAAGCCTGGAGAGCTAAGGGAGCAACCCCTGACAGTCCAAAAGAACGACCCGGATACTAATGTGAAGAAATAGGAGATCCTAAGCTGAAAATCACAAAAGTAACTAACTAAGTGAGAACTACTCATCCTAGTCTCATCCCTACCTCACCAAATACTTTTTGCCATTTCTACCTCTCCTCTTGAGCCAAATATTAAAACTTCTTTTTCATGGAAATTATTTACTACGCCACCCTGGCGGGAACTGTTATACTCTACTATTTGCAGTAGGAATATACAAAGTAGCACCCTCACAGTGGAATGTCAGAGAGAGAATCTCAATTACTGTAGCATTTTGCTTATCCTCATAGCAGGAATAATGGTTACTAACAGAGAATAAACATGTGTGTTTTGCTATCACTAAGTCTATTAGGACTTTTTATCAGACTTTTATCATACAGCACACCCTTTAGCTCCTACAATATCTGCCATGACCCATTTGTACAAGACTAATTGTTGG